TTTGGGCGGATTATTGATAGAGAATAATGTCTTTATTACAAAAAATGCGAGTTTTTGCCTTAGTAATTTTTTTATCGGCGAAAAACTGCGAACTTGACAAATTTGGTTGCACAACTTCCCTCTATCATATACACCCAGCGACACCGATGCCAGCCAACTGTGAACGGGAGCTAGCACTTTTGAGACATCATTGTAAACTTGCGACTTTCTTTCCATCCTTCATCACAGCTATGGCATTATGGTCATGTGGATTATTTTTCTGTCGTTGAAGAAAAACATTTTGCCGACCTCAAGTCCATTACGATAACCATAAGGAGACATGCCGACGATGGGAACTTGTTGCATCATAATTTTGTCACGTGTGTGGGTGCGTGAATAAATCATGTTAATGAGGTCGACCTGAGTTTATTTTCAGTCTGTTTTTTATGTATCGCCATTTGGATATGTTTATGTATTCACAATAGTTTGTTCACATCAGTAATAAAAGGTTTATTTGTTTCATAACCCTGTCTGCTATTCTTCAGTAATTACGATGCAATGTATCAATACGTGTGTGAACAAAATTATGCTAATGAGGTCATCGCCTTCTTGGATTACAAGCTGTAGTTTTTCCCGGCCGTTTTGACTTGCACTGATCACGATTACTAAAAAAGTAACCGTGCATTGATTACAATACTTACCATACTTTGTAGCCAATTTCAGTGAGTAATACAACTTCATTCTCTGACATAAAACAAGATTTATTCTTGAAATTCGACCCTGTGTCTTAGTGTTCCCACAGTTCTTGACCGAGTGCTCACGTTTATTGAAACCTCGCATAAATCAAGAAATAAGTACATGTACAAAGTGTACGAAAGCATTCCTTTATTTGACCTTCATACGATCACAAAAACTTTTTTAAATCTTTTTTGGGGTGGTCCTCGGGTAAGCGCCCACCCCCAATTTTTCCCGATTTTGTATGTTCAGGCCCCTGGGCGCGTGCCCGGGGTAATACAGTATATTATTGATTCAGTCCAGCAGTTAGATGGGGTTATTTATTAGAGGCACCGGGCAACCAAAATTTCAGTAACAACTGGTTTTGTGTTCAGTATCCGGTGGACTGTTGCATTTTCTAGTGGGCTTCATTTTTGTCCGATGATGTACACTTCTAGAGCGTACAATGTTTCAAATCATGGCATATTGAGCTGGCTCATGTGTTTGACCACAGTAACCGTGGTTTGACACTAGTGACCCATCAAACTAACTTGTACATGGTTTGAAATTCAATTGTTATGTTGTATTTCAACATGGAGGTAAAAAGAGAAGGAGTCACAGCCAAAATAATCTTCCTAATCTTCTTTTGTTTTAGTCAAGTTTAATCCTATAATTCCCTTTGTCTTATCGTCCTTTCACCCCAGGATCGTTGTCGACACGTCATTTCTCTCAAGCGATGCTGCGTACAGTACGCACTCCAAGGTCTTGTTTTACGGTGTCGCAGTAAAAGCCAAAGGACATAAAGCATGCGCAGATCTTTTATACGTAGAGGAATCATGTTTGTGAGAACGGGAAAGTTGGAATTATGAAAATCGGAGAATTCCTTGTTAAGTTTATGTAATTTTTCGTTTTTCAGCACATTTTCCGTTGTATTTTTGAATCGGTAATATTGTAATGTTTCGAAACCTTGCTAGTACTGTTTTTTAGTCCAAAATAAAGATCGTTTAATGTTCCTTGCAATGGTGCATGACATGGACCGCACCGCGTTGTACCAGAGACTGAATTTTGAGGTTCAAAATGACACTTTTTGAAGTTTATATCCCGTGTATGTCCTACTTCCTATGGCAGTGCGTCAATTTTCTTTATACACCATGTACAAGAAAATTGCTGCATTTTTTTGTTTTCGTGCAATCATTTCGTTCACACCATATGCAAAAAAATTCTTCGTCTGTAATATGCTCTTCGATTTCGTTTACGTCTTCTGAATTTAAGGATATAGCAGTTTCAGCATCGTAGTCAAACTTGTGCGCGTTATCGATCGTCGCCATATTTGTTTATAAGAATTTGACTAGAATTGTCACGAAAATCGCTGAGTGCTGCCGAAGGCGTCCATAGTATGCTAATACATGGTAATCCTCACTGCGCTAAGAGGAAACTGTACTCCTTGATCCGTTCAGCAAATAAACTCCCTGGTCTATGTACAAACAGCGGCGACCATCCTGGTACCTCTGATCTAAGCTTGGCTGTGACTCCTTCTCTTTTTACGTCCATGAAGAAAAGATAAGCATTCATTTACTTAGTGGACAGAGGCGGACTTAATTACCCATGAGCACTTGGTGCAATCTATGGGATTGAGCGGGTCCCCTTTAAGTAGGTGAAATCGACAATGCAGTGTTTCACCGACACTGCCAATACCTACACTAATACGAGGGTCAAGTTGACTTGGGATCGAGTTGACTTGGGGTCGATTCGACTTGGGGTCTAGTTGACCAGAAGCCTATTTTAGTATAATTTAGTAATAAGCTACTCGGCTGCACTCGCTCGCCTAGCTCTGAGTACAGTCATGTAGGTTGGCCTCCTTCCGCTGATCATTCGGCTCCCACAGTTCTGAGAAGGCCAACCTACAGGACTGTACTCAGGGCTATCACGATTCACAGTCAGTTCGCCCCAATGCACATTCGCCCCAGACCAGTTCGCCCCACAGTCAGTTCGCCCCACAGTCAGTTCGCCCCAAAGTCGGTTCGCCCCAAGTTTACTGGTGTTCGTTTTCGCGGTTATGCGTGCAAGGAAATGTGGTTTTGAAATATTTTAAAAATTATACTAAAGTAAAGCCACATCGAAGGACGCTGATCGCCGCGATTCATGATTGTAGCATATCGCCCGAACCCGTGCTGTGCCGTGTGCTATGATCGCAGACTCGTTTGACCTATTAGTCCGTACGACACTCTCCGACCCGATAGATTTTATAATTGGCGTTCACAGGTCAAAGCAGCCAGCAATCTTTCCGTTCAGGCTTCGATGAGATCCGTAAACTGGACGAGCTTTGAATAGTTTATCGAAAGGTCGAATCGATCTTCAACGAACCGTTTCTCAAACATCGCCATCTTGGATTATTCTATTGAGCAATAGGGGTTGTGTCGGCTTGGCTAGTATATTATATCTGAAACCAGTGAGCTT